TACGCCAAGCCGGGGGACGGGGTGGTGGTGGTCGCCTGGGGCCGGGAGATCGACCCGACGGGGGACATGACCACCTGCCCAGGCTGTGCCGACTGTCCCTGTCTGTGGCCAGAAATTACTCCAGGTAGGGCTAGGCATTGTCGGGTGCCATCCGTTTTGTAGCGACATTCTTTGCACTCGCAAACAGCAAATCTGGAATGGAAGGATGTAAGTAGACTGGCCGCTGACTGAACTTGCAATTGCTGAAACCGCTCTGGTTGTCGAACTACACGGGGCCCACAAAGTCTAAGTCTTGCCCTCGCTACCTCCCAAAAAGGATGGCTCCCAGGCTAGCCTATAGCTAGACTGGGATGTAAGGAAGACAAAATAGACTGGAAAAGAAAGGCGACCAAAATGAAAAAAGAAAAGAAAACGAAAAATAACATATAAGAAATGAAGAAAGAAAGAAAGAAAGAACGGATGAATGAATGAATGAATGAAAACGGATGATAAAGGAATGCGGTAAGAGTGAAAGATAGAAAAGGAGGAAGGACGGGATATATAAAGATGGAGATGACAACTTTACAAGGCTACCCCGCACTGTTTCTACGTGCATCGTCTTTATTCTCATATCTAGCCCCTGCCGTCCCGATTACCACCGAGCCTCCCCCCGTGCCCCTGAGTGAGTACGGGGGACCCTAATTTATAAGTCTAAGTCTTGCACTCACTACCCCCGAAAAAAGGATGACTCCCAGGCTAGCCTAGACTGGGATGGAAGGACATCAAAATAGGCTAGAAAAGAAAGGCAACCAAAAGAAAAAAAGAAAAGGAAAAGAACAGATAAGATACAAGAAAGAAAGAAAGAAAGAATATGAATGAAAGAAAGAATGAAAGAAAGATTGCGGTAAGAGTGAAAGATAGCAAAGGAGAAAGGATGGAAGCATGGAATATATAAAGATGGAAATAACAACTTCCACAAAGCTACCTGCATTCCTGTATCTAGCCCCTGCCGTCCCGATTACCACCGAGCCTCCCCCCGTGCCCGAGCGTGACCGGCGGCGGTGTACCGGGAGTGCCGGGTACTGCCGGGGTGCACAGGTGACCGGTGCGCGGTGCGTGGACGGCTTCTGCGAATGTTCCGGGCGGGAGTACCAGAAATACACCTGCTTACGTCAGTAAAACTGCAATTGGTTTTTCATTGTGTTCAGGGAGGATTAAATTCATATAGATTCAAGAAAATTTTAGCCTCTACCAGGCTTGGGGAGGCGGCTGGAAAGAGTAGAAATCGGCCAAATAGAGAAATAAGCATGCCAATGGAGTGCGGCGAACTGTTCTCTCAACGGACAAACTCCTTTGGCATGCTTATTTCTCTATTTGGCCGATTTCTACTCTTTCCAGCCGCCTCCCCAAGCCTGGTAGAGGCTAAGAAAATTTAACAAACAGATGAACGTTGGACACGACTGTGTTGTATGTATTCGTGTTAGGCATACGTACATCTACACTGATTCAAAGCGTCACTTGGAGAGGGAATTATATACATGTAACACAGAACCAACACAGGACAGGCACGGTAAATATCAACACACCATTAAGTATGCACAAATGTTTAAACGTAGTAGTATTTATCTATGCATTGTAGGCTATGAATTGTGCCTATGTATTAGGATTGTGTCTAGAACATCTGTATCGTTTTCGAGAGTATAGAAAGAAATTAGTATTGATACAGTAGCAACTATACTATAAGGACACCAACCACTCAGGCCAGCTTCTATCCAGTCAAACAACCGCCATTTTAAATCCCCCTAGCGGTTGTCGGGAGCTGTGCAATATCACGTGACTCCGGCGACGCACGCGCAGAGCCCGGTATTCGGAACAGTCGGGACGATGGGGAGGTGTACAGCTGCGTGGCGGACGACAACAGCCGGTATGAAGTCCACGCTCTGGCCGTGTACGAAGGCTACGGGCCACGCAGGTATGTTGTCAACATATGCAATCATGATCCTTTTCGTCAGAGGTAAAAAAAGGAATTGAGATGAATCTAAAACGCTTTACTAGTTATTACATTTGGGTGCGTAGGTGCTGTTTTGTGTGTGTCCGTGTGTGTATGTGTGTGTGTATGTGTGTGTGTGTGTGTGTGTGTGTGTGTGTGTGTGTGTGTGTGTGTGTGTGTGTGTGTGTGTGTGTGTGTGTGTGTGCATGTATGTGTGTTTGTGTGTGTGTGTGTGTGCGCGCGCGCGCGCGTGTGTGTGTGTTTCTGCATGGCCCTTAGGTCAGGTTGCACGTCTGCACCTGTGTGGTAGCGCTCACTGTTTCATGTGTTTTAGTAACATGACCTCCTTGACAACTGACAGCTTTACCTTGCACGATAAGGAAAGTTTCACCACATGTCATGTGTGTCTATTTTTTGGTCTAGGGGATTCCAACAGGAGCCGACAGGGGGTGCTACTATGAACGTGTACGTCACCGCGGACCAGCTGACCAAGCCTGTTGTTTTCGTGCTGAGCTCGTACGAGGCGGTCAACTGGGTGCTCCACCTACCGGAGGGCGTGGAACTGCATAGAATCGACCTGGTATGTGGGAGCGAAACGATGTTTAAAAAAGGGCATTTTTTCACAAAAAAATGAAACAGAAATATTTTAATTGAAAAAGTCTTCGTTAGATTGTAATTTAATTTAATTTCACTTTTCAAGATTTGTGCCATCATCTCACATAATTTCTGACATGTTTATGATTGGTTTGTGGTACCACCACTTTTTGTGGTACCACCACTTTTTGTGGTACCACCACTTTTGTGGTACCACCACTTTTTTGTGGTTGGCGTTAAAACACAGTTTGTAGTACCACCACAAAGTACAAGAATATAAGCAAACATGGATGATACCTGTGTTTCAAGATTTTAAAGACACTCGACAGATTTCAAAGACAGTTTTACAGACGTCGATAGATACAATCAACAATGTATTCTAAATATTTGACATATTCCCTCTAGATCGCCTACTATCTCGCGCAGTCCTCGGTGAGTGTGCGACGCGGTTCCGTCAAGAAGGTGCAGCGCCTGTCTGGTCGGATAGGGGGCCTTCCTGCGTGTGCGTACGGAAAGGACGAGGGCGGCTGCGACACGCTGGAGCTGTTGAAGTACATCCAAGAGAAATTCGGACCCGTTACGTCATTCACTGGAACGTACAGAGCGTCGGGCTGGAGTTTGCGTATAGGTAAATTTTTGATTGCTATATGAAGCTATTTATAGATATTTTTAGTTAGGTGTGCAAAGGTTGTAGATTTAACAGGTCGTACAGATTACTATACCGGCTATACAGAATTGATACAGAGATTTCTAGGTTACACTTTAAATTTAACAACATACCCTAACATTAAATGATCACAACGCGTTCTACACGGGGGCGTCTGATTATTTTTTTCAACAGCCTAAAACACAGACTTCGTTGAATTTCAAAGTAAAACAATTCGCATAATCTGGAACCCGATATCTAATCATGTCCCAAGAACCAAAGAAATCTGCACAATTCACCGTGAGTGACAGCTGCGAACACACGAACACTAACAGAAACCATGTAAAAAAAAATTGTGTGATTTTTTTTACCTCCATGCGGAAACAGAGCCCTTCCGCGGAAGTCAAGTAAGTCAAGTCCGCGGAAGGATATCCCCTTCCACGCGAAAAAAATATTATAGAAATTAGATTTTCACCACTTGGTTACGTACATTAATATGAATTCTGTTTGGTATAATTTCAGGACAGCCCCCTGAAGAGCCGACTCCGTCTGGCCAGGTCCCGTGTTGGACTGGCTCCCAGTGCGACGCATGCGCGTCCGGGAATGTCGGGAGTGTGAACGGAGACAAGCGCTGCTGTCCAAACTGCGCCGCACAAGGTAGGGGGCGCTCGTGAATAGTTTCAACAAGTTGATAAGTCACTGAGTAAAGAGACTCTTTTTACACAAGTGTTTTGTGCACAGCCAACGTTTCGGTGACCGTCTGTCACCTTCCTCAGGGCAATTCTGACTGGTCCACATTGTACTGCAGCTAGCACAGGTGTCTGCTCTACATGTAGGTGTACGTTTGGTAATGCATATATATATATATTACCTGTGCTACAGTGCAATATGAACCAGTCTGAGGTTCTAGGAAGGGGACAGATGGCCGCCAAAACGTCGGCTGAATAAAAGACTTCGTTGTTTAAAAATGTTTCTTTACTCAAGGTAGGGGGCGCTTGATCTACCGGCCCGAATTGCTTCCGTCGGAACAACTCTGTTGATCTACTACATGTGTGTTTGAGGAATTCCTAATGTTGCAGTAAATCCAATATCATATAAACTCAAATATAGCAAACTGGAAGATAGAATAGACGAAAATCACAGAAGGACTTAAATCAGTAGGACATAGATAAAAGCAGCATTCTCATTGTATCCTACTGTACGTATACAATGCATACACAGTTTTATATATTTTCCGATGACTTGAAACAGAATTTCAAGCTACTGCGCTTCAACAGAAACCCATCTTTTTTGCCTCATATGTTCCTGTTGTTGTTACAGGTTTGATTCTGTCCCCGTCCTTCTGTTTTTGCCGCCGGACGCCCGAGACAGACGGAGATGGCGACAAGGAAGGGTCCATATTAGATACAGGGAGTGACGGTATGTTCTGTACCGACTGGTGCATGTTTTCCACATGTTTACCAGCTCCGTAAAACTGACAATAAGAGATTCTTCGTATGTAAGGAGTTTTTGGCGAAGCTTCCGGAGCGAGCCTGATAGTATATTTTTGCCCTCTTTAAGAATTTTCGATGTTTCATACAGAGTTAACATCTGTGTTTCTCTGGCAGTAGGCTCGCGTGTATCGTGTGCCTCTAGATTTATTTTGCTGCTTTTAGATTTCCCGAGCTGCAGTGATTTTGACATAGGTGTTCGAAAATAGAACAGGGGTTCGATGCGTTCGATCAGGATCGGTCATTTCCCGCCTTTAATTCTAAACATAGTACAGTAAAATTGCCTTAAGACAAGAATATCCAGACGACAGAGCAAATTAAAAATCTCAACAATTACACCTGGATAGCAACCACAACCATTATCCCCTAACAAAACAATCAACAGATGAAATAATACCTTCGCAATGGCAATTGCCTTGTTGATTCCACGTTTGTGTGTTACACATACAGGTCCCAAGGGACAAGTGAAGTTCACCACATCCGGGGTATTCGTCGTGCCGGACGGGGTTCGCGCCGTTGACGTCATCTGTATCGGCGGTGGGGGAGGGGGGCGAGACGACCATGCCGAGATCCTGGGGGCGTACCCGTACGGCGGGGACGGCGGAGAGTCTTCCTTCGGACGGTACCTGAGCGCGGAGGGAGGGAAAGGCGCCAAGGCAGGAAACGCCGGTAGGTGTTAGCCTCTACCTGAGGCTTCGAATTCAGAGACGGCTGGCAGAAATTGTAGGAACTGGCCAAATAGACAGATAATTAACATGCAATAGTACGCTAAAGGAGTACAACTTCAACTTGCCGCTCCTTTTTTTTAATTTTGCGGACCTACTCCCCTGGTATGCTATCTGTCTATTTGGCTACTCTTTCCAGCCACCCCTGAAGCTTTATAGAGGCTAGTCTACCAGGTATATGTAACTGACCTTTTTTGGACAGTCGTAAAATCGCAGCTTTGTATACATCCACATGGCAAATCGAGAAAAGATGATAAACACAACTTGCCTGGGTACCATCCTGGTTAGTTCGTAACCTCATCAGGATGGTAGCAAGGCTAAAACACAACATCTTAGAGGTGCCATTCATAATGATTAACTTCTTGAGCTTGTTTGACCTGACCGTAGGCGGGGAAGGCGGGAAGGGGACGGTGGCGGACGGAGGACAGGGCGGGGTTGGCGGCGGGTGTAGCGCAGGCGCAGGAGCTGCGGGGCAGACGTCAGGAGGCGGAGGCGGGCTGGTGCCGGGATCCTCCACTCACCCGTTCTGTGGGGGAGGCGGCAGCAGCGGCGGGTCATCATGCGGGTCAGAGTTCGAGAATATGCCTCCAGGTGCGTACACTATTACAAGTTCATATTTTTTTAATTAATATATCTTTTATTCATTTTCCATTAATAATCAACATTGATAATTTAGTCTTCCTATTGTAGATTTTCCACAGAATTACTATATAAATACTATTAACAACTAATGGCAGATTTGTTGCAACACATGATTCACTAGATAGAAATATAATTACAGTAACCTTCGCTCAACCGAGGCGGGGCGCGGTACCGACTTCCGACGAACTTTGACCCAATGCTGACGCCAAACGCGCGAAAACATAAAATTCGACAATTTGATTATGGTTATTTATTTTTCATTATCATGATTATATTTTTCCATGAACCAAAGGCAAATCAGGGCCGGGAGGCGAGGAGCCGACTAGCCGTAAGGGCGGGCAGTACGGGGGAGGGGGCGGCAGCCGGGCCGGCGGACGGGCCGGGGGAGGCGGCGGGTACTCCCGGGAAGTCATCAGGGTCGCCCCGGGAGAACGGATCGCCGTGACGGTGGGCCGGGCGGGGACGCCGCACTACGCCAAGCCGGGGGACGGGGTGGTGGTGGTCGCCTGGGGCCGGGAGATCGACCCGACGGGGGACATGACCACCTGCCCAGGCTGTGCCGACTGTCCCTGTCAACAGCCGGACGCTGTAACAACACAAGGTGTTGACTTTAATTCTATCTCATATATTGTTGTAGGTTCTTCGTTCTCGACAATGACCAGCGGCATCACGCAAGGTTGTCTGATATGGAAACAATAAAGTCATGATACAAGCTTGATACGGGGATACAGATCGTAGAATTCGACCAAAACATGTAATCACCAGACGTGGTGATGACGGCACACTCAAGTTTTATCAACTTATATTAATGCCGAAACCAACACAGGGCACAAATACATTACAGGACAATACTCATTTTCATCTGAGCGAAGTGAGGAAAGTCGTACCTTTCCCAAGGGCACAAGATCGGTGACATGTCAGGACTCGAACCCGGGACCTCTAGAAAAATGATTGGCCAGGACAGCCAGTCTGCAATATGATTGATTTCCCCAAACGAAGGCAAATGAACTCAACGGTCGAGCTGGGTGGCCAAACTCCTCTAATTCTCACTGTTTGGGTTTAAGTTACGTTACTGTCTTTAAACCCACATTTTTAGTCTAGTGGAGCTATTCAAATATCAAAATCTGTTTTTTATGGTTTTTAAAGTGTTTTGTTCATTCTTACCAGCTCCGGCATCTTCGGAAGTTACCGTTCCGGCTGTAGGAAGGACCCCCTGCATCGGGAGCAGGGGTTACTGTCCGGGGGGACACGTTACAGGAGCCAGGTGTGTTGACGGGTTCTGTGAGTGCTCCAAGAAACACTACCAGCGATACACATGTCTACGTAAGTATCATACTAGTATTTATTTTGGCTGTATCTTTCCGTCAAGCCTCAACTGTCGTCCCTTTTTGCACGTCGTTTGTTGTAAGTACCACGAGATTGCCGTTAATGTTTTGATTTTGTGACAATGTTTTCTCAGCCAATCAGCTCGTTGTACACATCTATACTTGATTTCACCTACCTGAGGTGACGTTGTTTCAGCCAATCAGCATCCACCTTAGAAATTACTCACCTTAGCCATATGGTCGTTGATGTTACGTGCAACGAGAAACATTACGTGATGCTCTGATTGGCTGAGAGCCGTAACTGAACCAAAGTTGTTTTAAACATATTGTTACGAATTCGTCGATGAAGGTTAGACACCCAGGTAATACTAGTAAGCGACACAAGGAAATTGTTTAAAAGTATTGTTTAAAACAATTTCCTCAAGCAATTTGATAGATTTTGAAAACTGATTTCCTTGTGTAAATTTGATAAGTTTGTTTATCACCCAAAGCGGTTGTCGGGAGCTGTGCAATAAGCCGTGGATCTGAGAATGCCGAAGCCCTGCAGGATTCGGGAGTCAGAGAGACCTTCGGCTGCGTCGCTGATGACAACAACCAGTACGAAGTGCACATACTGGCCGTGTACGAGGGGGTCGGACCTAGAAGGTACGTACATACTGAGGAAAACGTCGTAAAAAAACGTCGTAAAAGACAGCCCGCTGTCTTAGGTCATGTTTTCTGCAAAAAAAGAAAGAACAAGATGTCGGTAGTTTTAGACTTCGGGGAAGTATATACAATCCTCGGCTTCCTAAATTCCCCCATGTCGACCCCTAATTCCTGCTGGCTCTCGGGAAGATTCTGAGACATTTGACTTCCTGTCATTCTGCCTGTCAATCATCCTCCCACGTGCTGTCAATTGACGCAAAGGGGGCAGGCATAAAAACACAAAATCCACAGTTAAGCCACCTGCAATAATGACTTGCGTTCTACACATACTAAAACGCGTGCAGCAAATATGTTTTGAACTTCTGTTCGTTGTGAAATTTCAGGGCTGCAGCTGAGATGGACGTCTACGTTACCACCGGCCAGGTCTCCAAACCTCTGGTCCTGGTGTTGAGCTCCTATGAACCGGTCAACTGGGTGCTCCACCTACCGGAGGACGTGGAAGTGCACCAAGTGCTTCTGGTAAGACCAAAACTTCATGGACAAATGGAGAACCTGGCAACACATCTATCGTCTTGCAGTGGCTTGAATTTGTTACATTTGTCTACATCATTTTGATATTTGTACAATTCTTCGTATATCTGTACTTGACGTGTTGTGTCCGCAGATTGCATATCATATAGACAAGAGTGACGTGACTGTGCGGAGTGGTTCTGTGAACGAGGTGCAGCGCGTGTCAGGTCGGACAGGGGGCGCTCCTGCCTGTGCGTACGGCAAGGACGACGGCGGCTGCAAGACTGTCGAGCTGCTGAAGTACGTCAAACGAAAGTTCGGCCCCGTCTCGTCCTTCGCGGGTACATACAGGGCAAATAGATGGAATTTAAAGATAGGTAGGTACAGGTCAACAATATTAGTTGACAAAAATCCGCATATATTCAAACCTGGTAGAACGTACTGCACCTGTGCGAAACCCGTTATGTATATTGTACACAGGATTTGGCAAAATGGCTACCTTTCTTATTCGCGGATGACATCCTGTCTATAGTTTTCAAATATTGCGCTGGAAAAGATATCGTCTTCAAGGGGTGGAATTATGATGCAGTGTTGACCAAACATCGAACGAACATGCAGGTGCAGCAAGTTCTGCCGTCGACGTTCTAGTTTTACTGCATTAAATTTTACCTTTTTTTCAGCTTCAGCAGAGGCCACGCCGTCTCCCAGCCCCCCGCCCCAATGCGAACCTCTCCGTGTGGGCTTGTGCGACGGCCTCGGGTACAGCAGAACCTACCTGCCGAATCTGGTGGGGAACGAGTTACAGCGAGATGCGGAACTCCAGCTACAAACCTTCACACCCCTGATCCAGTTTGGCTGCTACGACCATTTGAAGGTCAGTTCAATGGATCTAGGTGTTAAGTGCTTTGGATACGGTGAAGTGTAGACTGACGATTCGATAGCAGAACAGAATATCTGATCCATGTCACACTGGCAAAGAGATATTGCACAAATCAGATGTCAAGGCTGAAAGCTTTGATAAGGGTGCTAGTCCGATTCTCATTTGACCGAACTTTTGTTGAATAGAGCTAGCTGGATGAAGAAAATTAAACTGTTCTCGAACTCAAAAACGAAATTAACTCACCAGAAATTTTCAACTGAATCGCTCCAGTCTTCATTAGCTTTATGACCCAAGTGCTGTGAACACGTGACTTTTAGCCGCATGTGACGTCAGCACTGGGTCAAAATTCGTCGGAAGTTGGTACCGCCCCCCGTCGCGGTTCAGTGAATGTTGGTATGCCCTGATGTAGAGCTAGACGGAGTTGACACTGGTGTAATTATAAACGGGTGAATTTATACGCACCAAGCAAACACAAGGCAAATTCTTACACGTTGCATCATGACAATAAGTAGTTTGCTCTTTCCGTCGACAGTTGTTCCTGTGCTCGATGTATGCGCCTCCTTGCGGAAGTCCCCCGCCTTGCCGCTCCTTCTGCCTTGCCGCCAAGCGCGGCTGCCTGCCCGTTTTGGCCGAGTTCGGCTTCTCGTGGCCAGAGGCGTTGGACTGCGATAAGCTAGAGGCCGACGGGAGCTGTGAAGGGCCACCAGATGGAGAGGAGGAGAAAGGTATTAAAGCATCACCAAAATCAAATTTAGTATCAGGTCACTAACCTTACAAAAACAACCGGTTTGATAGTTATCAAATAAAATACAGAAATGAACAAGAAAACTAAGATTTCAGACTTCCGACAAACAAGAATTTTGGGGTTTCATGACCGGTAATTTCAAGCTTACCCTATTTCCTGTGTTTGACTTTTTGATCTGTCATTCTATCCATTCATCGTCCAATCAACGAACGGTTAGCCTCCTCTGTCCAGACAAACATACACGCAAACCCACAGCCCAGCCACCCGGTATATACTTCTGTACCAAGAAGTACTAGTAACAGTGCAAAGACTGAACATGTACATTGAACTGAAATTGCACCATTTGTTCGTTGACAGAATATCACGTGAACGAGTGGACGGTTTCCCCCACCGGCTGCCGATGCTGGTTTAATGAGAGCAGTGAAGACTGCGCCTGTTGTGCAGACGGGGGCTGCCAATGTGACGAAGAAACCGACAGGTAACGTTAACTTTGGTTGTGTACGATTGGATAAGGCAATATCATTTTTAAGACATACCATCTGCGATTCAAGCAATGCAATGACGAGATGGCTTATGTGCAACATTCATAGTATCCTTAACGTAACATCGCTCTATGTTGGAAACATCGATTGAGACAAAACACGTTGTGAACATGCTGACATTACGTGATGCGCGTGTGGCCATTGCGTGGATGTAAAGTGTACGTAGCTGTCATTTTTAGTGAAGCATAATAATTATGGAGAGACAGACGGCCCCTACGGCCCACAGCAATGGGACTGAGTAAGTTAGTGATTCGTCGATGAAGGTTAGACATCCAGGTAATACGATACGACAAAAAGCAGTTACTCAAGCAACTGACTGGATAAGATTTTTTCAAAATAGAGGTTTTCAAAATCATATCCAGTTGCTTGAGTAACTGCTTTTTGGCGTAAGTTAGTGGTTGATTGATTGATCGATTGATTGGTTGATTTATTGATTTATTTATTTATTGATTGATTGATTGATTGAGACAAACGTTTGATTGACAGTTTGAACCTCTTTCAGACACCTGTGCGTAGAGTGTGACGTTGACAACCAGTGCGAGGTGGAGCCCTGGGAAGTTACCGGGACAGGGTGCAAGTGTTGGTTCGACCCTTCCAGACGGGACTGTGCGTGCTGTAGGTAAGATGCAAGCCAAGAGGTGTTTTTACATCGCAGTATTTTCATTAGTACCTTTGCTAAAAAATATAACGGGATCTGGGTCTAGACGTATATGTCATTAACTTACCACGTGTAACTTGTCTATCATTTATAAAATGGGTTAGCCTGGTGACCACTCTCTACACACTGGCTTTAGCCCTACTTTGTTTGACACAGGACTGATTCCATTGGTAGTTGATCGTTGCGGTCGGCATTTCTAATCACTAGCCTCTACCAGGCTTGGGGAGGCGGCTGGAAAGAGTATAAATCGGCCAAATAGAGAGATAAGCATGTCAAGGGAGTTTGTCCGTTGAGAGAACATTTCGCCGCACCCCAAATGTTCTCTCAACGAACAAACTCCCTTGGCATGCTTATCTCTCTATTTGGCCCATTTCTACTCTTTCCAGCCGCCTCCCCAAGCCTGGTAGAGGCTATCTAATCACTACCGCCCCATATGGCGAACCAACTGGAATCCGTAGCGTCGGCTGGGCGGGATGCTGGGTGGGAGGACACACTGCTAGCTATGTAGAGATGGGGGGGGGGGGGGCGCGATGCATTTTTCCGTATAGCGAAATTGGCGGTTTTAATTCCACGTAGAGCGTAGACGGACCGCTCTTATTTAACGTAAAGCGTAATCGGCGCATTTTGCGTAGAGCGTAATTCGCCGTTTTGATTCTACGTAATGCGTTGTAGTACCCGAAATTTATCATAAATTTTATGGTAAAACGTAATGGGGAGGCTTCCTGAATTCAGCACAATACAGTACGTAGCCGGCTATTAAAATTCAGCGTAGAGCGTTGTCTGGATCCCCCCATGCAGGCCCTCATATAGGGGAGCCAAGGTGTACATGTTTCACCAGGCTAAGAAGGCTAAGTGTCTTTTTGTCGCCCACCAGGTACGGAGGGTGTCAGTGTGACGAGGACAGTCCCCACAGGTGCGCCCGGTGCGGTGTGGACTGCGGGCTGGACGCGTGGTGGACTCTGACGCGCGAAGGGTGCCCCTGCCAAGGCGACGCGACCCGCCCAGGCGACTGCGCCTGCTGCAAGGACGGGGGCTGCCAGTGCGGAGACACCCAGTCACATCGGTGCGTCCAGTGCGGACGAGAAGACGAGTGCGATGTCGTTCCTCCTGATGTTCATACAACTACTCCGTCGCCGGAAATACTACCGACCTTCGCAGAGCAGCCGACCAACACGACGGTAGAGCCGGGCGAACAGGTCATTTCAATCAATTTTCAATCAATTTATTCAATCGAACAGAATCGTACAAAAGCAGGAAGTGCTGATGCACCCCTGAATTGTGTATTCGATTTTACAATTGGTTAAAAAAAAACAAGTACAGAGAAACACACTGTATACAAATATGTACAAACACCGTTCAATCTACAACAGAAAAATAGCAGACATGGGTTTTCAATATCAACCATTATCACTGTCATTGTATCAGGTCATCCTGCCGTGCCGTGGGAACGAGATCGACGGGGAGGAGCCGACGGTCACGTGGCTGAAGAACGGGAACGAGATCTCTGGCTTCATGGGAGGGATTTTTCCCTTGGCTTCAGGTAGCAGAACACAGTTTATTTATTTATTTATTCAAAATTGCGACAAGACAATACAAAGTGTGCACTAGGCAGCAAGTATGCTGATAGCGTGCACACCCAACACATACCTGTACATATGACGTAAAAAAACAACAACAATAAATAGTTAAAGCAAGATTATACACAAGTATACAATTTTCATATAAGTTACACCTATAATTAAAATCAATTATTATATAACTATACAGCAAAATGAATGTTAAGTTAGGCTCAGCTGGAAGAGACACAGAATCTTTTTGACTGGGCAATGAATGTGTGAAGTGCATGTGTGAGTTTTGTATTTGTATCTAAGTTATGACCTGGAGAACCCTGGAGCAGAACAGATGTGGTTAGGTGATGTTGAGTGAGGTGTTCAACAGTGGAGGCAAGGGTGTTGCGTGGCTCAGTGTGGAGAGGGCAATGTAACAAGTAGTGTGGTACTGTTTCAGAGGAGGCCAGAACACAGTTTTCGCCCTATGGGGATTTATATAGTTAAGGACCCCAAGATGACTCACTTCGACGCGGTAAGAATTATAGCAGGGTGCACTTCATAAATACGAAAATCGAATATGTTTCAAAAGAAGGTACAAACTACAAAATATTTAGAAACGAACAAATCCTGTCGGCGTATCTGCTCGTAACGTACACTTTGAAATCGCCTCCTACGGACGTGACCTGAACTGCAGCCGACTCACCCGGAAAGCCAGTTGCGCAATACGGCGCATTTATACACGAACTGCAAAACCTTCACAATTCAAATCATACAGTCTCAAACTCGATACATTCCTACACCACATAGCACAATTTACATCTGGCTGACGCTCTTATCAGGCTTTCTACCCAGCCTTCAAGAATATTCGCTGCACTACGTTCTATACCCGCGTCATCGTCCCCGGGGGTCGCCCATTAATACTGTGTTCTGCTACCTTCAGGAGGTCTGCTGGTCATCGTGGACGGACGGAACAAGGGGAAGTACACGTGTAGGCTCGAGTTCAACGGCAAGACGGCGGAGGCCACAGCATGGGTTACTTTTACTTCTGATAGTAAGTTCTTCTCATAAGCGGTCAAGTCTCTAACGTGAATCAAATTTAAATTATTCTATATTATGTTTAATTGCATCAACATCATAAAATCGTCGTCACGATTGCTTTAAGAGGCATTTTGACTTTACTTCTGATGTCATGATCATTATTTTGACAGGTGCTGTAGTCGAATCATAAGGGGTCGGGCACAGTCTCCGTACACCAGGGATACTAGTAATCGTGCATGTGTCTCATAATAATTATTATAAATTCAACTGTTTTGTTACCGAAAGGCCTGCCTTAGATCCTTGTCAGCAGGTTCTGTTACAGTCTGATTGAAAATCAAAATCGTGTGACGTCCTTACATGTACAACACAGATGTGACCCTGCCGAAAGTAACTTGCATAATCTCAAATTAAGCGGATCCTACAGCGGCGAGGCAGTATCCATTGGCTAGAGGAGTGTTCATTAGCCAACGAAAGCTAACTGTGTATGACTCTTATAACCAGTAGATACTGCATTGCCGCTGTAGGATCTGCTTGGAGATTAACTTGCATCTCTGTAATGTTATCATCTCTAACCCTCACAGGGCGCTCAGAACGACTTCAGTTCACAGAGAAGCCAGAAGACCAGGAGGTGCCGTTTGGAGGAAACGTCATATTCAAGTGCATGGCGTCAGGTAACGTCCCAACTTTGTCATTTTTATGTTAATGTAGTAACGATGTATGTACTTTTACACTGTACGGCTTATCATAGTATTAAGGGACTGTTCTATCATCTAATACTACGAGGTAACATAAAAATGTAGCTGCCGTATTTACAACGATAAAGGCTTAGTTCTATGTTTCAAAATATGGTATGACAAATTCAGATTCCAAAATTAATAGAAGAGTAGATGCAAACTTACCTTAAGTTTGTCATATATACATTGAATGTACGATATGCATATGTTCTTACCATGTTGTTGTCCGCTTATAAATGCATGTAACAACCAGGGGAGTACACGGTGACTTGGCAAAAGGACAGAATGCCGGGGTCAGAGTTCATCGACGGCCGCCGGGTGATCCAGCACCGTGACGACCTGTTCATCACCGCCGCCATGTTGTCTGACGTAGGCACCTACACCTGCAGGGTGACCAATGAGATCACAGGAGAGTTCCTGGAGGCTTCCGGCACTCTGGAAGTCATCGTCCGACTGGAAAACGGTGAGAACTTCTGATTTTATTTCGGACGAATGCGTTACTTTCGACGTACGGGAGTGTTCTTTTGGGAGGCTGAGCTTTGGGTTTGCAATTGTGCATTATTCTGTCTACTGTGAGAGTAGTTTTATAGCACGTGGTTGGGGAAGTTTGAAGGACAGAATGACAGGACAAAAGACCAGATATAGGAAACAGACATGCTATTTTTTTCGCACTTGTGACGTCAGCACTGGGTCAAAGTTCGTCGGAAGTCGGTACCGCCCCCAGGTGAGTAAAATTGTTTTTGAGTTGGAGAACAGTTTAATTTTCATGATGTAATTCACCAACTTAAATGAACTTTGATGCTAATAGCCCCCCTGGTCTTTTTCAGTTTGTGGCCGACCCATCCACCGGCAGGCCCCGGACAGCTACATCGTGGGCGGCACGGACGTGGCCCCGGGCGCGGTGCCGTGGATCGCCATGCTGTGGGACATCCGGCCCGCCCGCAACCGCTTCTTCTGCGGCGGCAGCCTGCTGAACGCCGAGTGGGTCGTCACGGCGGCACACTGCATCCTGGAGGGCGAGGCACGGATTGTTTAATTTCATTTCGTATGTTAGAAAGAGACGCTGGTCTCGCAGAGACTGCATTAGTGTCCGCTATGAGGGATAGGACATACTGGAGTAACTTTATCAAGTGTACCTCACCGGATTAGATAATCCGGAGGCATGATGATGATGAAGTTACCAGATCATGTATAAGTTAGTCTGTATCATAATTTGATTTCTTGTTGATGTAATCACTATTCAGTACAATTTCGTTTGGGGGAGGCCCGTGAAAAACACTAAGGTTTCAGGCCTCCCCCGGCATATTTGTCCATTTTTGAAATATTTGATTATGTTTTTCGTTTAGGTCACAAAGGACGACTTCATCATCCGGCTCGGAAAACTCAGCTCCGAGCAGGGGGTTTTCGAAGAGAACGAAAGGTCCACTAGAGGTATGTTTTGTCACAATATGATATGTAGAAATCTTCTAGTCAAAACGTTTGTTTCAACACAAGAGAAATTGTTCTCAACTAGAGCTTTCCACCAGTCACTCTGGTCTTCTTCAATTGACTGACCCAGTGAGATTTGTGTCACGTGGCTTCTCTGAAGTGTGACGTCAACACTGGGTGAAAGGTATCTTGTAAATGATGAGCAACTATGACGTTGACATCGCTCGGGTTCGCTACGCTCACTCAGTGGTTCATTTATTAGTCGCACCTGACTATGGATTATCCCACCATATACACCTCGGGGCGGGGCATTAACCCTTTAACATTATACACCTACAGTGCGAGAAATTATCATACACCCGGACCACAACCCAGACAACTACGACGTTGACCTCGCTCTTATTCGCTACACTCGGTGGTTTATTCGGTGGTTATCGCACCTGTCTATGGATTATCTCACGGGGCATTAACTCTTTAATATCCTTCACCTACAGTGCGAGAAATCATCATACACCCGGACCACAACCCGGACAACTACGACGTCGACCTAGCTCTCGTTCGTCTGGAGGAAAAGATCGCCTTCACGGACTACATCCTGCCGGTGTGCCTGCCCACGGTGGAGGACGCCCGCCGGCTGCTCACGGCGACGCCCGTGGGCTCCGTCAGCGGCTGGGGCAGGACCGTGGAGGACGGCACGTTTTCGTCAACGCTAAAAGAGGTAACATTTTCTGTATTTTTGCTTCAGCGTTGGGCACATTTTTGGTTTATTTGGAATATTAAGACTTGTTTTATTTGGTAGATTAAGATGCCCTAATCTTCCAGGGCTACAAAAGCACATATTATATACAATCACAAATTAAGAATTGAGGTCAGTGGTCAAATAACATTGCGGCTCACCAACTGAACTAGCCTGTACTATAGTGTATACAAATTCAGATTCACAACTTGAAGAAATCGAAGAGCTCATACTTCCGAGGAGTATCCAGGGCTGTTGACAATTTCTTGTTTTATGCATTATCGTGATGCTCTCGCTGACTCTGTACATATTTTGCGGTCACGTCCTCCCAGCCTATGCGGGGAAACCGTTTTCGTCCACAGATTGAAACATTATTACAGTTAAGATTAAGAGAAAGACGAAATAAAATGCGTTTTCATCGTTGATCAATGCCAATGTATGTCCCATGACTTGAAGTTTCATAATGTTTTATTTTCTCTCAGGTCAATGTGCCCATCATACGCCAGAGTAAATGCCGGAGAGCGCATGCGCGGTATGACGTCACAAAGAACATGTTCTGCGCCGGCAGTGAAACCGGAGGGAGGGACTCCTGTGATGGAGACAGCGGAGGGCCATTTGTCGTCTACGATAACGGAAAGTCAGTAATAGTGCATATATGTATATATTCTTTAAGAAAAAACACAACACACCAACATTTAGTTTCTTTAAATTCTCGGTCTACCTATCTTTATATCTACATGTGGAAAATTTTTCTTTTAGTGAACAGCAAGACTTATCATGTTTAAAGTTAAAACTTTTGGTCCAACACAAAAAGTTCTCTCACCTAAAGCTTCAAAAAGCCACGTCACAAGCCTCACAGTCTACTGAGGAAGACCAGAGTGACTGGTGAGAGAATTTTTAGTGTTGGACCAAATTTTTTTACATGTAACTACCAACACAAATGAACTTTCATGATAGTATAAGACTTATGATTAGGTTTGGTAGCATTTTGTATTGCCTTTGATAAAGGTATTAGGCTATGCCCATTTTTAGTTTTAGTTTTAGTGCCTAATAGAACTTATTCATCGTGGTGTCTGATATCATCTATTGCTGCCTGGGTAGCTGCTGTATTGTATTTGCCGCAATATTCAGAATAAATAAATAAACGATAGAACTTTTACTCATTTCTATAAATACATTATGCAATGTGTTTATCATTTAAGAACATTATACTCAAGCTTAACTTTAATTTCTATCTTTTTTTAATTTTTCATCTATTTTGATTAGGTGGAACCTGATGGGTATCGTCAGCTGGGGTGACGGCTGCGCCCTGAGAGACAAGTACGGCGTCTACACCCGCGTGCACAGGTTCCGCGATTGGCTGCAGGAGCAGATCCGCGAGGAGTAGCTAGGGGGCGCTGGCGCACGGCAAAAGACAACCTATGGCTCGAAATTCATTTTTGGGAATAGGTGCACTGGTGCTGCACCCAACTTCAAAAATTGGGTGCACAAAAAATGTTTGGGTGGTGAAATGAAATTGAGAATGTCAGCAAAAACTACTTGTTTGTTTCATTTCCATATAAAAGTAGTACAAGAATGATTTTATTATTTTTCTGACACTTAAATGTTTAGCATATGCTGTATACTATTATACATTTATCAGCTTGACATACGTAAATCTTCAAAGCATCCACCAAAAAAAATGGGTGCACAGGTCCAAATTTTGGGTGCGCTAAGGTGCACATGCACTCAGTATTTCGAGCCCTGCAACCTCACGCTACATAGCCTTGCGCAAACATATATAAACTTTGAAGTTTTTGTGCAATAAAATCACAATTGTTACTGGTTTACACAATTAAGCACTCGTATTATGAATAAATAATGTGACAATCATGAAGTGATATCATAATATGAAAGAAAAGTAGCACAATATTTCTTCATCTATATCTTTTCACATCTTTACATTAGTAATATCATTTCATTCCATGCATGTTATTTCATGCATATTAGGCATGGATGCCTTTCTTTCTATATACCATATATATATCATAAAATCATAAATATATCATTGATATTGTATCATAAAAAAAACACAGACCTGTCTCCCCTCGAATATCTTAATATACAAGGTCGATAGTTGTAAACACTTTTTCAGATAGATGCTTGCTTTTGATTGTCCGTGATGAAATATGATGAGCTTGTCCCTTTTTGGGCCATTTTAGTGCGCTGCTGCACTGTACAAACATTTACTGTAAAAACTTAATGATTAAACACTTTCTTACAATGTATGTAAATCTTGAGTACTAATATAACCTAATGTTACATTAAATACCTGCTTAATTACTAAGTGTTAAAGATGACTATAATTCTTTTCAAATCTTTTGAGCAACTGTTTTCTTGGAAAATCCTTTCAATGCACAATGGGTGGTTAAAACATTATTTTCATATTTCGGCTGTAACGTTAACTTAACTGATTATATCAAACTCTTGTCAATCACCAACTGTAAAAAAACGTTTTGGTGGGATCCTCCAGTATAAAGTACATCTACCATTTAGATACACTTGGTTAGTAAATCACAGAACCTGCCAGTATTACGTTCATCTACCACATAATTCAGTTCTCCTTATGAGTGATGCAGACGCATCACCCTGTATCAAGCAAATACTCTTGATTGACATCGCTGCCTTTAGCTTGTACTTAAAGTACTAGTAACTGTCAAGTCTCCAGCGGCATTCAGCTGGCGGACGAGAGCAACGCCAGGCAGGCTGGCGAGATCAAGGCGGACCTTAACCAAGTCATCCGGCAGCTCGCTGCAAGCATCCCAACCGGAACCAGCACGTCTAGCTCGATATGGATCCGCTGGGGAAGACGGATGCCCAAGTGTGTGGGTCTCAAGATTCGCAACCTGTTATCCACCTTAAACAAATCCACGCGAAGGCCACCGTGTCAACCCTTCTCCTTCAGGTGTAGGAACTGACACGGTTTCCATTGTCTCTCGAGACAGAAGGGTGCCGTCAACCAACCAACCAACCAACCAACCGACCGACCGACCGACCGACCAACCAACCAACCAAAAGTAACTGTGATCTGTTAGACACTTTACGGGTGTGTTACAGAGTCAGTTCCCCTCAGTTCCACCTGCCGGAGTCTGCTGGGCGCTTACAACATCAGTTCCACCTGCAGCTGCCATTGCCCCGGTCTCACCTACCATTCCAGCTCCACTTGCGGAAATCTGCTGGGTACTTACAGTGTCGGTTCCACCTGCCTTTTCCCCAGTTCCACCTGTGGTGGTCTGCCGTGTGTGTTTTAGTGTCTGTTCCACCTGCCCTTGCCCCAGGTACACGAACTGTGGTCTGTTGCACACCTACAGCGTCCTTTCCAGCTACTGCTGTTGCCCCTGCTCCATCTGACATGGCCTCTGTTCCACGTGCGGTAGTTTGTCGGGTATTGGTTGTTGCCGCACGCCCATTGCCCTGAGCATGTTCCCCCAGATGAAACCGTTCCCTGAACCCGTCCATGATTTTCTGCACCACCTCCGACGTCAGGGTCATCAGCAGTGTCAGCAGCAGGCCGTACGAGGCATTCAGCACGATGAAGATGTACTCGGGAGCTCTGTTGTCGATGTAAGGATAGACGAACCCGAGAATCCAGGTAAACCCCATCAGAAATGAGATGCGCAGGTAGACCCAGGCCTTGCTGCTCCCTGAGCGCGACAGGGCGGCGTCGGCTATCTGGAACGACTTCCGTATGGACAGCAACACGAGGATGGTCAAGACGGCGTTGACCAGAAGCGCGCAGAAGACGGGAGCCCCAAAAGCCACCAAGCTGGCTATCGGATCACCGATCCAACACTTCTCCCCGTAGCCCACGCGCACAGAAATGGCGGGAAAGAATTCCACGAACACCGTGACAACGACTACGGGTACCGGCGCCAGCCAGGTGTACAAGACGTACTTGTACAGTTTTGCTCTTGCGGCTCCCTCGCGAAACGTCAGGAACAAATCGTAAGAAAGCGCGTTCATGGACGTACAGGCCGTCAGGAGAAGGTAGTGCAGCAGAATCGCAAATGCGGTACAGGCCAGCCCGTGAGGGACCAACACACGCAGTACGAAAAGGGTTTCGGCTACAGCTAGACACGACATCATCTGTACTTTCAGCTTTGACGACAGGTTTTTCCACTGCTCGGACCTGACAGTGTGCACCACGAACGCAACCACGGCTACAGTAGACGCTGACACAAGACCCAGGGTTAGGTACCCCTGGTCGACCTCCCAACTACTGATGGTCTCACCGCCCTTCGTGTCGTTCGAGAAATACTCCAGGAGGCAGTCGCCGCAGATCGAGGCTGTTGTGTTTACGATGGCGACCTGCTCGGCCGGACAGGACACGCCAGAACTCGACAGGAGGACGCTGCCGTTGGGGAGGACATCGAACTCTCCGGCCGTGAACGTCCAAACGGATCTGCTGCAGTTCTGGAACTTAGAGGTAGTTCCGTTCGGTGAACCGCCGTGCCTTTCGGATGACAAGCGCCGGCATGTGTCTACAAACGGGTCGTAAAGGGTGTCGGAGGGACATTTCGCCGGGCCGTTTTCGCGACTTCTGTCAGCGTTAAAATTGAACAGGTTAGTTAGCGAGATGCTAGCGATGAGGACGTTCTTGTCTACAACTCTACCGGCACATCTTAGATGCGCTGCTGCCGACGTGAGGGAAAACCCTTCGCAAAGTGCGCAGTGTACGTTTTTGTAAATCTTGTCAGTAGGACTTCGCAGTAGACGCGTGTATGACCTGCAAGCATCGCAATCTGCACTCGACGGATAGTCGACGCTCTGGGGATAACATCGCCTTACTTTCATACTTTTCAAGGGATCAAATTCTATCACTTTAGATCCGTGGCAGTTCTTACTGCTATTGAATAGGCTGTTGTATGCATGGGAACCCCCAGGGAAGTGCGTGGACGGTTTGATCAGCCCTGAGCACACGGGTCTGGCCCTCCAAAAGACTGCCTCTGCCGCATTGTTACAGGAGGCGCAGAAGATGTTTCTGTAGTGGACGCGCGTTGAATTATCCTCCACAGGCATGCGGTAGATCAGGTCACTCGGGTTGTAGGGATCCGCCGGTTTTAAACACTGTTGTCTGGTGATGTCGTCTGGCCAGTCGTCGGGGCAGTCGGCGACCAGCCAGTAGGCGGACTGCCCGTAGTAGCCGGGGAGGCACTGCCATTTGTAGTGGTGACGGTCAGACGGCGTTGGAACCAGGCCGGGGCACACTTCGCTGTGGGACATAGGATAAAGGGAAGGTTTGATTATACACACACACACACACACACACACACACACACACACACACAACCACGCACACAACCACGCACGCAAACACACACACACACACACACACACACACACACAACCACGCACACAACCACGCACGCAAACACACACACACATGCACACACACACACATACACCTACTTACACAAACCTACACACACACACATTCAAACACACACACACACACACACATACTTACACAAACCTACACACACGCGCGCAAACAAGCAAATACACACACACGCACACACACACACACACAAATCTACACACACACACACACCACATACACACACACAAACACGCACGCAAACACACACACACGTCAGTCATGATAGCATCTTATGTACATGTTTGTAAGGAATCTGATATGTTGGTGCGTTAATGTGTGATGTTTACGTACCCCATGTCCTGGCAGCAGTCCTCGTACAGACTACAGTCCCGGTCGCACTGACAGGAGGACCTGTCTGACCGCCAGGATCCGCACCTGGTCCCGACCCAGCCCGAGCAGGAGGTGTAGGTGGTTCCGCATCGCACTTGGCCTTCTCTCGACGTGGGATCTATACCAAAAACGTGCGGCAAACGATGCATATGACTGTGTTATCATGCAAGGAAAATGTATAGAACGGTCTTTGTCTAGCCTGAAATACAGTGTCCCAACTCGACAAGCATTTGAGAGGTACTTTACAGGTGGCATGGATTACGACTTGCCTTCTAAAAGAAACAGCTCGTGTTGAGGGCAACCTGAAATATTCATTGGTTTTTGGCTTATGGGGTCGTGTGGCTTATTTTATTAGCGGTAGCGTGTTTGGCTCAGGACCAAGAGGTCCCGGGTTGGAATCCTACCCATGTCACCGATTTTGTGTCCTTGGGAAAGGCACTTCATATTACCTTCCTCACCCCACCCAGGTGTAAAATGGGTACCTGACTTCGGTTGGGGAGGTAAAAGACGGTGGAGGTAGGGGGATTGGCTCCGCCTTTCAATACCTTGCCCAAGAGGCAGTGGATTGACAATACACTGCCCCTACGGCCTGAACAAGGCTACGGGACTACCTTTACCTTTTGTCTTAGGTTGCCCACCTGGCATTCTGAGGAGAAAAAAAAGTTTTTCGGAACCTGAAATTTCTTACCGGCACATTCCATCACGTCGCAGTAGTCCCACCTCCAGTCCCCGTCCGTGGTGTAGCACCAGGGCCGCTCCTTGTTGTCAGGGTTACGGCAGAAGTTTTCCTCCAGCCCCGCATCAGGATGAGCCTGCGGCGTGTGGGGATGGCTGTGGGGGAACTGGGAGTTCCACCTCTGACACAGCCGGTCTCCTGCCCTGTGGAGGGATTCACAAGTGATAAGGCTCACTTCCCATCCAGACCCAGCATGATATACAAAATGACTAATAGACTCGTGGACGTACCGACTAAATATTATCTAAAACCAGCTCGGAAAAAAACAAAACAAAAATAGACATGGATTCAATTACCAGAGTTATCAACCAAGGACTGAGGTATATATTCGGCTATGTGTGACAGAGGTTTGGTGTGTGAAATCCATTGAACGATAAGCCTCTAGTGAAAATAGAGGGAGTAAACAGTACCATAAAGGAATGTCTTTTACAATGTTTAACTCGAAACAATCTTTTGCAAACGTGTGGTACTACCGACAATCTCCACATTTCCCGAAACGTTAATCTTACCTATGTATGTGACCTGCGTAGCTCCTCCCTTTATCGCTTGCGAAGAAACAGCGTGTCGGTGCGGCTGATATGGAAGACAAATGCAAGTTAGACTAAAAAGGTAACATTTGCAAGGCAAACGCTATTAGCGACGTATACGACAAGCCGGTACATGCTGGCTTTTTGCGGAATTTATAAATCTGCACTCTACGTATGTACTGAGTTCTTGAGTGCTTCGGTAGCCTGGGTGCCCGCCCCGTATTGTCGCTAGCTACCATGGACTACCCAGGCCTAGAGCCAGGCCAGAGCCTCGGTGGACGTGATCTTTTTTTTTTTGGGGGGGGGGTGGAGAACAGGCGAAAATCAATGCGCGCGCGGATGTCATCCATAAAATTAAGTCGGTGTTGCCTAACCGTACCGTCACAGGCGATGGCATCGTCGCAGTAGCTCCACCTGATGAGCGGGTTGTTGGTGTAGCACCACGGTCTGTCCCTCCCGTCCGGGTTCCTACAGTAGTTCCGCTCCAGTCCTGCTGACGGGTAGGCCTCGGGAGTGTGGTTATGGGCGTGCGGGTACTGAGATGCCCAGAACTGGCAGGTCATGTGCCGGTTGGCCGGGCCTCTGTAGCTGACGCCTCTGTCCCGAAGGTAGTAACAGTCTGTGGACAAAATTATACGTTAGAACATCTTTAAACGGCTACGTACAGAGGTCAAAGTTCTATGTACAAACAGTTACAAGTCTGTTATGGGACTATGCGGCACTCACTACAGTGTACTATTATGTACAGGCTCGACTTCTTCTCGGAAGATAACCATGGTTAGCTTGTGGTGAGACCTACCACAGTTCCGCTCATCGCTGCCGTCCCCACAGTCGTCTCTCCCGTCACATACAGCAGCCGGCAGGACCTGGCCGCCGTTTGCACAGACAGAAGTCGCTGAGGGGGACAAGTAGACTGGTTTATTATTAAAATCGAAGACAAGTCCGATGGCAGCCTACAGGGTGAATTGACAGACTTGTGTACAAATTGACAGGCTATAACATATTGATTCGTTTAAAATATCTATGATCATTAAAAGCGAGAAGAGACAAAATGACATTAGAAAGGTAACATTTGCGAAGCAAATGCATAATGTTTACCTTCGCATATGGCCTGCGCTGTTAATTCTTACTCAAACACATTCACATATATTGTAACACGAGTCTAAAACCCTCCTTCTATAAAATTGCAACATTATGTAACCCAACACCACTTACTATGGTGAGAGAAGTCAACTTATCAGGCCATTGGCCAAGTCAGAGGTCAGTGTTTGGAACGGCAGAAGAAGAAGAAGCAGAGCAAAAACAATATGTTTTCCTTCGGCAAACATAAAAATATCTTAGACTTAATACCACGTGGAGGCAGACCGAGACTGACGAAAATGTGGAAAGGGACGTGGAAGCGGCTGGAAGTTCCTGGTACAAGCTTAACGCCATACCATACCTCCATTGCTGCAGCTTGCGTTGCCTTGTCGGTCACCTGCGTCGAGCGAACAAAAGAACAAGAAATATCGGAGATTTCAGATTTCCGGGAAGTTTCTAGGATATCCGTGAATGTCCGTGAATAGTTTAGTTTCATCAGGTGGGAAGTCACTGACTAAAGAGACTCTAGATCTCTTTACACAACCAAGTATTCTATTCCGCCGACGTTTTGGTGACCGTTTGTCACCTTCCTCAGGGCAATTCTGACTGGTTCACATTGCACAGCACAGGTGTCGCTGCTATAGATGCATTCCCAAATGTACAGTATGTACTTATCTACACATATGCGTGTATATATATATATCATATATATGCTTGCATTGAGACTGTGTGAGTATTTACTTACAGCAGTGTCTCTCGTCTGTGAGGTCTCCGCAGTCGTCTCTGCCGTCGCATACTTGTGTCTTGTTGATGATGAAACCGTTAGCACACATTTCGGATTCCGTATCTGAGAAAGAAAACGAAAGGTTTGTTTGAAACTTTGTTTATCCATGGCCATAAGAAGCTAAAATCAGGGAATAGGTGCAGAAACAAGCCCAAAGACGAGTCCTTTATTTTCTGGGTGGTACCCTAAAAATCAGCCAAGGGCCCTTCCAGTAACCAACTTCCGTCAGAAGTTTGGGAATTTTTGTTCCATGAGGATCAATATACATTTTTTTATTACAACATGTAATCACCGGACGTGGTGACAGCACACTCAAGTTTCTTCAACTTACATTAATGCCGCCACCAACACAGGGGACAAATACATTACAGGACCATTCAATTTACACCTGAGCTAAGTGACGAAAGCCGTGTAAAGTGCCTTTCCCAAGGGTACATGATCGGTAGCATGTCAGGACTCGAACCCGGGACTCTTAGTTCCGAGTCGCGCACTCTGCCGCTACGCCACACGACCCCACTATACATTGGGATAGTGTAGTTTCAACTCAGTATGTAGAGGAATTGCTAGAATATTGGCTTTAAAAAATGCCCTAAGAACTGCATTGGATGCCTTTAATAACACCTACCACAGTTGCGTTCATCGCTCCCATCCTCACAGTCCGGAATCCCGTCACACACCACCTCATACACGTCACAGTCACCGTCCGAGCACGCCGTCTGCTCCACTCCGGAACAAGCTGGACAAACACAACACAGGAACACACAGGAATACAATTACCCTGGGAGCCAGACTAGTATCAGGCCGTTAGCCGTTTTCTTCGGCAGCCAGGAGCCCTTCGCCCGCCTATCACCGCTACGGGGGAGTCTAGCTCGGGGGGAGTTTCTGGGCTCAACTCCCCGAAACGGTAATTTGGATAGGCGGGCGAAGGACTCATGGCTGCCGAAGGAAACGCTAACGTCCTGATACTAGTCTGGCTTCCAGGGTAGAATACAATCAGCTTCTTAGTTTGACACTACATAGCTTCAGGTATTCTAATCGTCTGATCTATTCCCTTCCAAAATCAAATTAAGACTTTGTTCACACACATTGAAAACACATTTAACAATGGCATATGCTGCATTGAAATAGACAATATGACAGAGACACAAAAAAGGCTAGCAGGACCAAGCAACGCATTCCGTACCTGAGACAATGGGCGACAGAACTCATTTTATTGGAATGAAAAGGGTTGTGGTGTATAACTACATCTACATACAGCACCAAAAACACCATGTGTGAGCTATGGCCTTTCATGGCACAAGTATGATCGACTACCTTTTAGGCATCAGAGGTCCTGTCAGATCCTGTCAGCTAGCGTGGACAACCTTCACAAATCTTCGCTCGCGAAGACAAACCGAGAACGACGAAGGACTTACCTTGGAAAAACTTGATCTCGTAGATCTCGCTCGTCCGCCCTTCTCTCATAGGAGTGAAGTCCAGGCGCCAGTGCTGCGCGGTGACGAGGAAGCCACTCAGATCGTCAACGTCTTTTCTGTCAACAATGTACAATACCCAAATACTACTACATGTACAGACATTTTGGTTTGAATCAAATCGTTTTTTTGTAATATCTTGATCAATCCTGTCAGTATTTATGTATTTGTTTCACTTGTTCATTGATTAATTATTGTATTCAACTTCTATATGAAAACCCGTGCTATGCTTGCCTGTATTACGTATTGTCTGGTGGCGACATGAATATACGTGTAACTTGAGTGTGTCGCCACCACGTCTTGTCACTGTATGTTTCAATAAAAATTTTAAAAAGTCTGACCTCACTTCGGCAGACTCCTTTACGACGCTCCACCGACGTCCCGACGACGTGGAAGACCGGACGGTCACGACAAAGTCGTTGACGTGCCACAGGCGGATCCGGGACAGCGACGTGGGCGCCTGGAGATCGAAGATGAGTTCCCAGCTGCCCTCCTCGTCTGCACGTCGCCAGCCGGTCTGTAGATTTGAGTCCAAGACGTAACCGGAAACGTACCGGACACCCTGGACATCCGGATCCGGATCCTGCCAAACGTCCGGACTCACCCATGTAGGATCGGTCTCCAACCATCCACCTAGACGGTAATAGCATTTCGTTAGTTTTGTGGTCATTCCTAATCTCCAAGCAGATCCCCTTCGGTGACAAGACAGTATCATTAGCCAGAGGAGATTGCATGGCCACAATCGGTGGCTAATTTGACACTCCTCTGGCCAATGGATACTGCCTTGGCCCTTGCCACCGTATGATCTGCTTGGATATTAGTCATATGAAACAGATACAAACACCGAGAATGAATTGCTGTCCTCATAGCTGTCTAGCTCGCTGGGATAACATATATATTGCTCACCTGTTAGTGCACATGTACCTGACAGACAGTAGAACAGACCCCACACCATCGTCAGTGCAGTTTTGGTAGGCGGTGAGTTCCCCATTCTGCTATGACAGGCTCGCCTGTTCTACAGCTGGTCCCTCGCTGTTGTGAAGTATACTGCTGGGTGATATTTGCGCACGGAGCCGACTCACTTTTGTGGACTAGACAGTATAGTAAACATTGGTGCGTGTGGTATGTTGTTTTTGTTCGTTAGCAGCACGAACAGTCACAGGACAACCTATGGCTGGACTTTTTTAATGAAATATGGTAACGCCCAGTTGGTAGAAGTAAATCTTGCATACGGTGTTTTGTTTCGTGTCTTTCGTGAAATATGCAAAGACACCTGTTCGTTGCGTGCCGTAATTTTGACAAGTATTGGAAACACGTATGTTTGTGTTTACATAATAAAACATCAAGGCACGTTGATGAAGGTTAGACATCCAGGTAAACAATATTCAAAAGACAATTCAAACTCTACTACTGGATAAATTACGGAGATTATAATTACTTCCAGGCGTTTCGAGTGGCATATATCACTTTTATTCTGCGTCACTTAAATGAAGTTACAGAACTAGCCAGCACTTATCAAACTGGGAAGAGGCACGCCAAGGCAATATTGTGAAATTCCGCTCAAAATCCAATCATTACGACCGGCTTGCTCCTGTTGGTATGCTGGTCTGAACACTGGACATTCACTTGTTGTCACGCACCTCACAGCATTAGTACCAGGTGGTCCATAAACAGCCTAGGAAAACAAGGCATGTGCAGGTGTGCTCGTATACATCAGGGATGATTACTTCTTGCATAAAAATGGTCGATTACTTGGACACCGTGTACCACTGTGCCTGGTACAGAACACGTGTGTCCAGTACACAACACGCCATCGCTAAATACTCAGTTCAAAATCCGACCATGGCGAGCTCCTTGCTCCTGTCGGTGTGTCTGCTGTACATCGGCAGTGCCCCATCTGCCGCTACTGAAGGGCAGTGTCCCTCCGATTCCTTCAAATGCAGCACGACCGATGACTGCATCTCGCTGGGATATCTGTGCGACTTTGGTGCTGACTGTCCGGACGGATCTGACGAGGATTACTGCAGCGCCCCGGGTTGCCTGCAGTCCCCTCACGTGTTTGGCTGTAGGTCTAACGACATCTGCATTACTCTCGAATATGTATGTGACGAGGAAGACGATTGTGACGACGGTTCAGACGAGACAAACTGCACGTCGGGTGAGTGTCTCTCCTCCAGCTTTCTGCTGCAGTGTGAAACCAGCGGGCACTGCATTCCCCGGTCGTGGCAGTGTGACGGTGAGGACGATTGCGAAGATGGTTCAGACGAGGTGGATTGCGAAGAAAAAGCATGTCCCGTCTCAAACCAATTCCGGTGTGAAGGCGAAGGCGTCTGCATCGACCCCATGTCGCAGTGTGACGGCCAAGATGACTGTGAGGACGGCTCAGATGAGGTAGATTGTACGACCAAAGACTGCCACATCTCCGACCATATCAAGTGTGAAGATAGTGGCATCTGTATCCCTCCCTACCAACAATGTAACGGTTGGGACAACTGTGAAGACGGCTCAGATGAGGTCAACTGTACCGGCAAAGAGTGTCATCACCCCAACTACTTCAAGTGTAAAACAAGCGGCATCTGCCGCCATCCTCAAAATCAGTGCAACGGTTGGGCTGATTGTGACGACGGTTCAGATGAGGTCAACTGTACCCGCAAAGAGTGTCATCACCTCAACTACTTCAAGTGTAAGACAAGTGGCATCTGCCTCCACCCGCTTAACCAGTGCAACGGTAGGGCTGATTGTGACGACGGCTCAGATGAGGTGAACTGCACGACATGTTCCTCCCCCGGCCGTTTCTTGTGTGCGCACAGCGCGATCTGTATCCGCCCGCAGCGGCAATGCGACGGAATCAACGACTGTCCCGACGGTGAGGACGAGGACAGATGTAAGTGTCCCCAGGGTATGTTCCAATGCGAGCGTAGCGCCCTTCCCGACAGTCTATCACCTCACGCCTGCATACACGACATCACCTTGTCAAAATGTGGCCTCGAGGACTGCCCTGGAGCGTCCGATCAGAGTGGCGTGGACTGCGTCTTGGGCATTAGTCGCATCGATGGCTGGGGCTTCATCAGGCAATGCTCAAACGAGACTGAGTTCACGTGCGAAACAACGGGCATCTGTGTTCCGTGGTCTCGCGTGTGTGATGGCGTGGACGACTGTGGTGACGGCTCGGAGGAGACTTGCGGCGCTGACCCTCAGCCCGCCCCCTGCTACCTCGGAGCTGCGGAGTTCCGATGCGCGACCGGTAACACGTGCGTCCCGGCCGCAACGCGCTGCGATGGCGTCGGCGACTGCGAGGACCAGTCGGACGAGATCGGCTGCGGTAAGCTCACGTTTCCTCGTTTTTTTATCAAACAACTGAGGTAGCCAGCCATTATGGCTTCCCTAGCTGTACCCAGCTGTAGGAATGTGGTCAACCCCTAGCTACCACTTCTGCATATAGTCACTACAATTGTTTTTGTTTGTTTTTACCACCACCACCGGTCACGCAGGGGAAGGACCACTCCCCTAAGCACTAGGCCCCGCGAGGGGTGTTGCTTAGTATCGTGTAGAAGAAGAAGAAGAAGAACATTTAAATTTACAGGACACAGTGGTGGGCAACTCTAGCAGGTTGCTAATCTTAGCCCCACCACTGACAAAGAAGAGTAAATACAATCATGGTAACAAAACAGCAACAAGCAATAAAACAGCATATAACAAAACAGCAAATGGACGATATAAGCGACAACATGCATGTAAAAGATGATCATAATGTTTTGAACGTTACCGTAGGCAGTTAAACACATTTAGTTATTTGCGAGGATGCCACGACGGGCTAGGTACAGGTCAAGATATAACAGACAATAATAGTAACAAAACAGCAACAAGTAACAAAACAGCATATAACAAAACAGCAAATGGCCGATATAAGCCATAACATGCATGTGAAATAAGGATCATAATGTTTTGAACGGCCAGACAGCCATTTCCGTAGCACGGCAACTGGATTTTGAATACCACACACCCACGACCGTCCCAAGAATGTCTCCAGTCATTCCGTTTGTGGTCGTGAGACGATCGTACAACGAATATGTGACCGGGTCCTTACTCACACAGAGTATGTCGTTAGAGTCTCCTTGTTCTTCTTTCTGTGGGGTGACCGCCTTCGTCATGTCGAAGATTCTGTCACCATGAATGGGATTTATTGCTCAAGGGGGGGGGGTATGTAATGAGGAGAGGAGTTATAAGTCTTATATTATGGACTTGAAGTCCTCCAGGTTTAGCCAGGTGTCCAGCCTTGTTAGCTTTAGTCCGCTCCCCAAGATCCGCTCCCCGCCAAGCGGATCTTGGGAAGCTAACAAGGCTGGACACCTGGCTACTCCAGATTGGTGCAGAGGGCAACGTCCGGTGACAGGCTGTTCCACTCCCGGATGGTGCGCGAGAAGAATTACTGTTGTCTATAAAGAGTTCTGCACTTAGGTAGCAGGTACGCCGCAGAGTGGGTAAAGCGAGTAGGTTTTGAGCTGCTGTGAGTAGGTTTTGAAGTACAGTTAATCACCGACGAACCTGTGTGGTACGTGTCCTTGAAGCCCTTGCCCTCCTGTTGCGTTTTGACCGACGTCTGCCCTGTACGTTTCTCCCCAGAGTGCACCAGTGCAGAGTTCCGCTGTGCGCGCAGCGGCAGGTGTGTGGAACCGGCGAGGGTGTGCGATGACGTCACCGACTGTGATGACGCTTCGGACGAGCTGCCATGCCGTAGGTTCAGCATGGATTTAGTAGAATTTCTAGCATGCATGGCGTAAAAAAAGACACGGTATGGTGTCTGCATGATGCCAAATGTGGGGTCGTGTGGCGTAGAGGCAGAGTGCTCGACTCGGGACCAAGAGGTCCCGGGTTCGAGCCCTGCTATGCCGCCGATCTTGTGCCCTTGGGAAAGGGCACGACTTTCCTCACTTCGCTCAGGTGAAAATGAGAACCGTATTGTATTGTCCCCTGTGTTGGTGGCGGCATGAAATTATGAATATAAAAAAAGACTCTCTTCATTCAGGTTGTGTTCTATCCCATTCTTCCAGTATCATGCGAGCTTCGGGGCCTGTGGCAGTGTGACAGTGGTGAATGCATCAACGCCACGTCTGTGTGCGACGGGGACAGGGACTGCATTTACGGAACAGACGAAGACAACTGCCACAGTAGGTTATTAAACTTCTTATTTCGTTGTCATTGGTTTCTTGTGGTCTTTGGGTGTGTATTTTGAGGGGTTATTTGTGGTCGATAGTTTCTTCTTTTTTTCGTGGATCTTCACCGTTGTTGCTTTGGTTGACAACTTATTAATGATAAGTCATGCCTTCAAGTACCAGAGTTATCAACCAAGGATCGAGGTGTCCAAGAATTCATTCTTTCCTAGAACTCTCGCAGAGTGCAACACGCTGCCACCAACTACAGTAGGGGCATTGTCATTAGATAAGAGTTAGATGTTCAAGGGTTAGGTGTAACAGGTTGATCGGTGTAATGTAGCCAGCTGCCGCCGCGCTGCGTGCCTGCGAAGCTTGTATGTTACACCGAAGGATGGTTATACCGGCTATACCGATACTGATACAGAAGTGTCCGTTACCTTTCAGCACCCTGCAACGGCCTGCAGTTTGCCTGTGGCGGAACATGCCTGCCGAAGTACCGCGTCTGTGACGGGACGGACGACTGCTCTGACGGGGAGGACGAGCAAAGCTGTGCAGGTGGGCTTCAGCACGTACTAGTCCTACGATCGAGTAGGTATCCTAAACTTAAAACGCCACTCAAGTGCGCACTAACGCACGCACGCACGCACGCACACAAACACACACACACACACTTGTCTTGGGGTGGTGGGACTACGGCACACATGTCAACTTTGTATATTTAAACGTTAATTGTACCTTTTTTGTGTGTGGCGCTTTTAATATAAGTTGTTAACTTGAGTGCAGCGTCACACTGTCCTTGTTATGTCTTTATGTTTTGATGAATAAACACACACACACACACACACAAAGACACACACTCTCTCTCTCTCACAAACACACACACACACACACACACTCACTCACTCACGCGCGCGCACACACACACACACACACACACACACACACACACACACACACACACACACACACACACACACACACACACACAAAGACACACACTCTCTCTCTCTCACAAACACACACACACACACACACACACTCACTCACGCGCACACACACACACACACACACACACACACACACACACACACACACACACACACACACACACAAGCACACCCAATAACATCCTTTTTGAGTTATCAAAATCTCTCCTTGCAGGTTGCGGTATGAATCAGTTCCTCTGTCCGGACGGTAACGGTACCTGTCTGTTGGAGTCCCAACTCTGTAACAATCAGAGTGACTGCAGTGGAGGAGAGGACGAGGAAGACTGTGGAGGTAAATACCTCTTTGTGTGAAGTGAGCCCAGCACATCTAAACTACAAGTCCTATTTTAGCTGTTACGTGATTATGTGTCAAGTGTAGCCTCGGTCACAACCCGCCGTACGTGCTTTTTGTCCGTACGTTTTTTGGGAGGCTACGTCTGTGCTTACAACGTACGATCTCTGTGCGATTGCAACTTTACCGTAAGGAGGCCGTACTCACACGTGCTTCTTCCGCACGGTACGTACGGGGCACGCGCGTCGCCCGTACTCGCACGCACGGGTGGTGAATCCGTAGACCGCACGCAGAAAAAGTTTTACATGCACTTAAAGTTCTACAGTGTGTCTGCGTGCTCCCAAATCCGTAAAATTCCGTACGGAGGTGGTACTCACCACGCACGGATGCCCTGCGTTTGCCCACGTTTTTGCACGTAGACAGCACGCAGAAGCACGTACGGCGGGTTGTGACCGAAGCTTTAGTCTGACACGTATCTCTGGTAAACAACACAGATACATGCCAGGTATCTAAAGTAAGGCATCAAATATCAAAAGCAACCGTTTAATACTGGACATATCTGCCATTTGTCACCAGTATTGATAATCATGCAGTGATACTAGCCTCCTGTGCAGGCTCCATGTGGGTGGTAGTTTTGATACTGCGTTTTGTAGTTTTTAACGCGTTCATTTAATTGCCGGCCATCCTACAACCAGCCGCGAGAGAAGGTTTTCATCCGCCCACGGAGCCTGCTTCCATTCGGCAAGAAAGATTAAGAATCACTATAGACAAATTGGTATGGACTTGCGAAGGTTCCGTGGGCTGATGGAAACCTTCTCTCGCGGCTGGTTGTAGGATGGCCGGCAATTAAATGAACGCGTTAAAAACTACAAAACGCAGTATCAAAACTACCACCCGCCCGAAGCCTGCACAGGAGGCTACGTGCTGACGAAGTCTCGTTGCTGACACGTTCTTTTCCCCGCAGGTGACACACCTCCTGGGTTCCCACTGGGTCTGGCGACTCGGTACATCCCCGATACGTTCGTCACCGCCAGTTCCCAGTACAAGTCGGACTTCGCGCCGTTTCAGGCTCGCTTCACGCACCCGGCTACACCGGGACACTGTTGGGTACCGAGCTCTGTGAGGGGTGAATGGCTGCAGGTATGTTTGGTAACTAGGTACGTAGGTTTTGTTTCCGGCGTGTTTGTTTGTGTGATTGCTTGTGTTTTCGTACCATAGTCACTTCCACGTGTTAGGCACGTCGGGGACACTGACAGGAAGTTAGGTTAAAGAGCTGTTCGTGAAAAGTTCCAGAAAAGATTATTTCATTACCCGTCTTCAATTTCCTGCTATATGTATGCCTGTTGCCTTATGACTCCTATGAGCCAGTGGAAAAATGCGTCTCCCATTGGTATTCTGACTGGTTCACATTGCACTGCAGCACAGGTGTCGCTGCTATAAATGCATTCCCTGTGCTGCAGTGCAATGGAAAACCAGCCAATATTGCCCTGAGGATGGTGACAGACGGTCACCGAAACGTCAGCTGTGAATACAAACACTTGAAACACAAGCTTCTTTATGCTGGGGTCACATTTCCAAGCCGGGGCCCGGCCGGGCTGTTTCGATTAACGAAAAATCAACAATTTTTATCAAGAATATACGTAAATAGTTCCATTGTTGATATTTTTCAATCTTTCTGTACTGTGCTTTGTTGCGTTTTATACTATATTTTTCGTTCCAAATGACTACCCGGCCGGGCCCCGGTTTGGAAATGTGACCTCAGCATTACTCAGTGACTTACCAACCTAGTGAAACTATTCACAGATGAGAATACATGTGACTGTATCGTTGACTGCAGGTTTACTTTGGGAAGACGACTAACGTCACAGGTGTGGTGGTGGGCGGCGGCTGCTCCAACTGGGACCTGCGCAGCTGGGTGACGTCGTTCACCCTGGCCTTCAGTATGGACGGTGCAACGTGGAGACCGTACGGAGGCAGTGGCAGGGCTCTGGTAAGGCCACACCAAGTAAATTTTATTGATGACGTCCTTTGAAGATCCTATTTCTAATGCGAGAGGGCGAAAAAACAAGAAGGGCCCTAAAAAACAAGAGGCCTAGATCAGAAATATACTAAGAGACGACAAATGTTAGGACACAAATTGAATGAGGTAACACAGATTAACAAGCAAGAAGTCTTTTATTCATCATCAAAACAGCAATAAATCAGGTGGAACAGCAGTTGTTGTCCTGTCCTGTTTTCGCGTTACGGGTTTCACGTCAATCTGACGATTTGCGGCACTGTCGTGACTCTTTGGTCATAGTTATAGGAAGCGGAATTTCTTGTTTTATTTGTCTAGGAACATGCCAAAACAAATGCGCGCGCGGACGTCATCCATAAAATTAACTTAGTGTGGCCTAAGGAGAGTTT